TGTTTGTCAATTATATGATATTTGCTGAAAACAGTATGACGAAACGTTACAGCCTAAATTTCACCTACGTTGCCTTAAGCTGCAATATTTTAGAATCTAGAACACAAAGACCACAGGCAACCCAAGCTAACGTCTAAAAAGCCAGCGATTAATTCATGAAAGTGTCACGCGTTTTGTGACTCGGCGTTAAGTTACGAGAGAAACCTCTGAGAATTTGAACACTTTATAAGGAGTAGTGTGGGAAACGAAATATGGTCGATTTACAGAGATAAATATTTCGAAATATGAACATTTTACACGTAAAATTAATAAAACTTACTCATATCTTGTGTGTCCCTTGTAGTTTCTGGCGATTTCTGCTCTTTTAAGCTTGCTTTACCATCACTTTACCAAAAGACAAAGTCTTCTTACAGGAACAACAAAAATGGAAAAGCAAGCTTTTAACGGCAGAAATCGCCAGAAACCACAGCGGACACACAAGATGTGAGTAAGTGCTTTGATTTTACGCGTAAAATGTTCATATTGCGAAATATTTATTGTTGTAAATCGACCATGTCTCGTTCCCCTTACTATTCCATATAACGTGTCAGTATAAAGTCTCAACGTTATAAAGTCCCAACAGTTCCTCTCGTTACTTAACACCAAGTCACACAACGCGTGACGCTTTCACGATTAATCGTTCGCTTTTTCACGAGGCGTGAGCTTGGGCCTCTTATGCAAAGACCAGTAAAAGCCCTCCATTAGGCTATTAAACCGAGTCTCAATCTGACAGTAATACAGTCACTACTGGGCAAACGTTCTCATACTTCAAGCTGGTTACCATTTTTTTAAATAATACATTTTAGTTCTCTTATAGAAACTGATAGATGTGTATTGCTTCGAGGTATGCGATGATGAACTCGAGTGCCTTTTTACGTGCATCCCGATAAGTTAATAAAAGCTATACACGTTCATGAATATATCGAGTTTTACTTTAACCTTTCAGATGAGAGATTCTTCAGTCCTTGTGGGCCGGCTTGTACCTCTGATATCTGATATTTGAGAAAACAACTCTAAAGTACTTCTTCTAGCCGTAAGGTCTCTTCGCGTGAATTCAATTCTAGCTCAAACTAGTCTGCTAAAACACGTGATTTAAGCCTATAAGTGTATTGTGCAATATTTTTCTGGTTCATTCAGCAGTAGACACCTGCGAAATTTGTATTTGAATTTTATGCTTTACCAGAATCCGGAACTCAGTTCTGTCGTTAGCAACAAATACATCACTGACATTGTCGACGCTACGAAATTTTCTAGAAAAATAATCTTTACATTAGGTGGAAACTAAACACACCTTGAAGGAGTTCCAAAGTTTTCCATCAGATTTTGAATATATTAACAGTGTCATAGAAACATGAAATTGTCGAGACAACAAACGAGAATCTTGCAAATTTTTGTCTTTCACCCGTAATTTTATGAATTTTTTTATTGTTACTCCGATTCTTGGAGCCGATTGCGTTGATTATTCACTTTCTTTAAATTGCGCAAAAACATTTCAAAGATGTTTTAGAATTTGGAACAAAATCTTTTCCATTAAGATTACAACTGCCTTTCATAAAAAGGCTCTATCGTGAACGATTCCCTGCTGAGAGGCATAGGGATTCTCTTAAGTTGGAAAATTAATTTGTATGCTACCTTGCGCCTCGTCTTTCTAAACATTTATTACGACAATGAATTTGCACGTGCAGTGATTTTTCATTTAAAGAATGTTATCCGCGGTTAACCGTTTATCTGATCGGGTTCTCCTATGATATATTACTTTTCACTCCTTTCTTTGGGTACACAAAGTCGGATTTGCCTAAATATCGTGGGCGTTCTCTCGTAGCTTAGTGAGCATTATTACTTTAAAGTCGACATCACTTTTATTTGATCTTCGGCTGTCATTTCGAACAACAGGGGCCTCATGAAAATAATAATCTGTCACACATTAGAATCTCCTTTGATATTCCCTTTTTTTTTCGTCTGTTTGGATCCTCGAAATAGATCCGCTTAATGCTGTTAATGATGTTGCCCGGAAAGACTGCCTAATAAATTTGCCTTGAACAATTTTTTTCCAGCTGTGTTTCATTACTACAATGTAAGATAATGAAAAAGTTTGATTTCGTCAGGACAGTCAACACCGATGATGGAGATACTGAACATCAAAGTTCTCGATCAATCTATTGTTGCTTTTGACATTCACAATCCAGTTTAATTTTCAAAGTTTTCATAAACAAACCTAGTCAGTAATAAGCAAACAATAGAAATGGTATTCATTAGTTTGGTACAAACTGGTATGTAAATAGATTCGAGTCACTCTGCGGCCAAACAGCGGCAAGGAGACGGTCCTTCAGAGAAAAAAAATATATTTATCCTCTAGTTTTGCCTGATAAATTTCCTTATTTGAGCACGTATCGACGTCATCGCGGTGTATTTTTGTTTCATTTCCTGCGGCATTTATCTTCTCTATATATAGCACGTCAATCTCGCTTTTCTCGCACTTTCTTCACGCTATCATCGAGGAAGGCTTATCGAATATAACATCCTGCTGAGGAACAAACGTAAGTGAGCTGTCAACCATTTTTGGATCACTAAACACACTTTGAAGGAAATCGACCTCTAAAACTCTTGGGGCTGGGACACAGCTTGCAACTGAAGAGGTTTCAGTGTCAGGAAAAACCTGACTCTAAAAGTAACTGAAAAAATTCAATATAAAAAGGTTCAACTTCACCCACAGAAAAAACGCGTTTGTCAACATGGAAGACAATGTTTCTCAACCGCACTTTCCCAACGCATTGAGCAATCGATCAACTTTTCAGATAGCCGTGGATGTTGCACCTCTCCTCGTTATAAACCTGGCCGCTCTTTTTGGAAACGTACTTTTATGCATTGCATTCTTTAAGAACAATAACCTACGGTCAGTGACAAATATATTTGTTTTGACACTGGCGGTGTGTGATATCTCAATGTCCATTACATCCATGCCTCTGTCAGAAAGTGCTCTTATTGCTGGAGAATGGATCTTTGGGGAATTCCTCTGCCACTTTCAAGGATTTCTGACCCTCTTTTTGGCATTCCTTTCGCTTCAGATGATGGCAATGACAGCTGTAAATCGCTACTATCGAGTTTTAAAGCCAGATTTGTACAAAAAAGTCTTCACGACCGGCTACACTTCTCTGATGATAATCGCAGCTAGTTTACTATCACTGGGAATCCTAAGCAGCGTAACATTTGGGCAGCATGGCAACTTATTCATTTTTCACCCTGGAAAGACCATCTGCGTTAACGTGTACCGTAGCATGCTGACAGCACAAGTATACACCATTGTTTCTAGCGCCTTGTTCGTATTACTGCCTGCTGCAGTAATCGTATGGTGCTATGTGAAGGTGTTCACTGGAATACGAAAGCACTTCCGTCGACTGGCCACTCGGAAGATGTCAAGGGCCTCTCTCAACAGCCTTAATCCAGCAGAGATTGTTGTCACCCGCACCCTGTTTGCAATTGTCTTGGCTTTCTTCCTTTGTTGGATACCATGCATTGTCATAGATCTAATGGATATTATGAGGAACAAATGGTTCGACCGACGGATGTACTTGGCTTACACCTACTTTGCTTACATCTCAAGTGCCGTAAACCCCTTCATATATGGCGTGATGAACAGGTCTTTCCGAGTGGAATTTCTAAAACTTTTGAGATGCCGTTTAAAAAATTAAAAGCGGCTAGAGTGAACAACACTTAGAGAGGCAATGCACCAAAAATAAGTGAACTTGTGCAGCAGAGTAGGAAGAAGTTCAACCCTGGAGTAGAAGAGATGACACTTTCATTCTTTTTGTATCGAATTATCAACGCGCATCTTTAATATTTCTGCATTAATCACAACAAGCGACGGGCAATTTTATCATTGGTTTTATTATGGTTAGAAAATTTTCGATATACTTACTTTCCCATTGACCTGAAGCAAAATATGAAAAAGCTAAAAATATAGGAAACAATCCAAGATAAACTTTTACCAACTGAGCGAATTACAAGCTGACAACATTATTTTAGCAAAAAAAAAAAAGCAGGTATCCCCGTGGAAAACTTGTAGCTGACGCAAATCCTTCATTCTTAACGTTTACAAAATGCTAATTCTTTCTAAATGGTTATTTGTACTCAGCTGAGTATCAAATTACTAGTAAGTTTCAACACGAGTGGTATACTGTACTTATAATGCTAGAGTACGCTGGTTATTTTTGACGAGAGGTCGCTACTCATCAGTGTTTTAATGTGTTCATTTCGTGTCGAATAGCTAGAAAGGTTTTGTAGCAATAAAAGGTTCAATTTATGGTATATTGACATTATAAGTAAGAACAATACAGCTGTTCAACAGGTCTAAGTAAAATTTTTAATCAAAAGGTTTTTTTTTTTCCCTGAAAGCCTAACATAAAGTACTTTTCCATTTTAAGTGCAAGATAAGCAGTATTATTTTTTTTCTCAGAGGGCACGGTAACGGATCCTGCAATCTCATTGGTTCTTTACGCGGTACGTATTTTCCTATCTCTGCTTACGGGCAACGGTAATGCTTTCGTGAGTCGCCGAGTACATCCCTACCTTCGTTGCTATTTTTCATAAATATATCTCGTTTTTCCAGCTGGGCTGTATTTTTCTAGCAAAGACGTCGGTCGCTACCTCAAGCCGATGAATAACTTATTAATCCTCTCTTTTCTCCCTCTCAGATCACTTTGGTTGACAGAAAAATATTGGTTTCAAAATGAATTTGTTAATGCAATAGTGTCATTACGTTGGTTGACAAGCGGCCTAAAAACCGTCTGTAATAAATTTTGATCGTCCATAAAAAGTACCCAGAAAGTTAAAACGTGAGGTATTTGGTTACAATTGAACAAATCGATGGAACTTTCATTCATTTAATATCTGAATTTTCTCAAACAATTTGTTTTTAGTGAAAGGGCGAGCGAAGTTTTAATTTCAGTTCTACAACAGATATACGTTCTCGGCGAGTCTTTCCAAGGCCGTTCAATTTGTACCGTAAATTGGGCAACAGAAACTGAAGGAATTAAATAATAATAAGCCGCATTAAATCCCCTTTTGTCTCGTTGGTGTGTCTCATTCGAATTTAGCTTTTGTGGAGGAAAGACCAGATTTACACCCGCCATTGCGGCAAAAAAACAAGCTAATTATCACAACTTCAGAATAAAAAACTTGCATTTACTCACAATTACTTTCCTCGCCGTTTACTTAATGAACAGATGTAAATCTTCGTACATGAATGAATCGTCGATGAGAGTGAATAATACTTTCCGTAAGATCATTGACTGTTTTTGAAGAAAACATTGTAGTGACAGTCCTTGCCAAACCAGTTTCGTGGAACAAAAGTCTGACACTTTTCATAATTGATTTTGTTTTGAAAACAATTCGTCAGTAAATCGAAAGTAATTCTATGATGATTATTACAGAGAGTTTTGAAACAAAAATAAATTAGTAGCTCGATCCATACCAACACACTTCGATAGCCACAATAAAATATTCAATACTCTCTCTCTACCAAGCTCATGTATTTTCAAAAGTTCCTATACCAACAGTGTATATATTGAAAGAGTTACTAAGATGAAAATGATCAGGATGGATATTAATGTGACTATATTTACACACCTGTTTCCATACATACACAAAATACACATTTGCTTACATAGATAACCATTTTAGATCTTCCTAGCACTCTTTCCGGCAGAAGGCAGCTGAAAAAAACCTCCATTCTCGCGACTATGAATGTGCTTCACCTGTATGAGTTCTTCGCTTTACAAGCTGCCTGCCTTGTAGCGTCATGTTGTCTAATGACATAAAAACCACTGATAACCTTATCTTCACCAAGGAATCCAAAGCAGCATGATAATAAGCAGCGCAAGCGAAAAAAAATAGTTAATTAACACCTACCTCTTCTGATATAACAAGAAATTTCTATTTGTGAGTCAAAGAAACTAGGTAAACAAGATTTCTGTTTGAAGATGCGGAAACTGCTCGCAATCTTTTAATCTTCTGTATTTCAACGTTTCTCCATTTAATATTTCTAACACGAATCTCTGCGCAATTTTAATCCAAAGAATCTTATTTCTCCTCACCAAACTAAATAACTGTCCGCTGTAAACGAATATGGTCAAGAAACTATTACCTTTGAGATCGAGCGCATAGCAGCGTTACCTTTCGCACTGATATTATAGTTGTTAACTCATCGCTTCAAGGCTGGGTTTTCAGATACATTTTGTCGTCATTACATTGTAGTGTGGCTGTTGCCAGGTGCTTGTAATGATTATAATTGAATTCAATAAAATAGCTTTGGATAATCAATAAAATGTATTCAGTTCAACGAACCCCTTGAATTTTGCATGTTCTCTAATGTGATATTTTTTTCCTTTTTTTCACCAACCTGGGTCTGTCAATTACGTATAAGAAATTTCGAATGAGATCTGAATGGTCTCTTTTGCTCAAATAAGCGCATTTTGAATGAAACAAAATTTCAATTTTTGAAACAAAAAACTTCATAATTTATGGGAAGTTCAGTAATTGAGACATTGAATCTAATTCACCAAAAATAAAAGATATTTCGTAAAAGCACTGGTTTTATTGGCGTGGGAACAAGTAAGGTTTTGCAAGCACTTTGAAAAGGATATCCTTAGTAGAGTAGTGGTTCTTTGTTTTAGAAACAGCCATTTCTCTGCCCTAATTGATTTGCCTACTTACCACCACGAAATAAGACCGCATCCGCACAGTACAATAAGGTATTTATTTTATGTCTCGAATAGACAATACAGATAGACAGCACAATGGTGAACAGAAAGAGCTTTGTCACTTTCACCTTTACTTCTAAAGGTCTCCTTTTTTTTTCTGTCAATCAAACAAGACTTTACTTGTTTCATTTGAACTTTCCTCGTCACAAGAATTTCAACACAATGCAGCTAACAGGTGGTTTGAAGAAGTACGAACTTGTCTAGGAAGTTCAGAAGAAACCGATGTCTGCCAACAATATATAAACTATTTTTATGAAGGTCAGTGCAATAGTAGACTTTGCCATTTTGGAAATTTTATGAAGGTCTCTTATTTGACTCTCGAAAAGTCATTACGTTGCCAAACAACTTGATCGAACCCTGGCAGCTCGTAAAGAGAAGCCGAAGACATAAAGCGGTAATGACGTTCTATTATTAAATTGTACCTAGAAACTACCTTTAATTTTATTTAAAGGAAGCCTCGTTGACTTTACCAAATATATTTTAATGATTACTTAATCAACTGGCGTTTAATTTGATAAAGTTTGTATCTAAATTTTGCCAGGATTGCTAGACAGTGAGTTTTAGTTTATAGAGTTTACAATAAGAATGCCCTGGATTGCTTTTATTCTCAGGGTCTTGTATGAGCACAGGTTGGATAATTTTTCTGAATTTCGAAACGTTCGAATCATGCTATATTTCTGATTCTCTAGGAAACCCATAACAACCTGAAATATTTTTCTAACCATTTATGTCTAGACATATTCTTAGATTTAAATGAAAGGAATTTAACAACAATGACCTCAGTTTGTTAGAAATATCATGAACTTCAAATTGTTGCGGCTCTCTTAATCCAGCTAACACCTCTGAAATTTATGGACTCAACTTAAAAGACAATTTCTACTTTAACTCGATCTAAGCGGTTACGGAGAGGGGAATTAACACTTTTTTGGCTCCGCAGAATTAGCATGCAAGTGGAGCACGCGGTTTATGAAGTCCATACAACTGGTCACAGAATAAGATTGTGTACCGCCTTCATTCTTAATTTAGCTGTTACGATATGCACTATATCTTCCTTACTTTCCTTCATTTTGTAGCTCGCTTAATTTTTTTTGTTTCCGGATCAGTCCTGCGTATGATTAAGTTGCAAAACTTTACAGAGAGTTTTCTTTATAACACTTAAGCAAACCATAATAGGGGTATTTGTTACGTTTTGAAGTTTTCCATTGTCATATTTTGAAGTGGTTTATTGAAAGCCTTTGATTATTCAAGAGATGCATGAGCGTAGACAATGGGAAATAAGTGACTTTACGGGTTGTCCACGGTGAAGATATTGCTACAGAAACGGATCATTCGTTCTGAAAAATATCTCTTTTTTTACAATGAGTCAAAAACTGAATCATAGATTGCGGTGACCTTGATTTAAAAAAGGGAAAGAAAGATATTGTAAGGCAATTGAGTACGGTTTTTTTGTTCTTTTCTAGCAACATAAATCACGTATTCTTCGCTTTTGACTGATGGAAAATAGTAACTGAATCTTATGAAAGTAAATTGAATGTCTCATTTTTAAAGCTGGATACAAAACCTTAACTGCAAAAGGTCGCTTACTAAGCGATTGCACATAGCGAAATCTGGCCAAGATCAGAACGGGTTTTACGTAAACTAACATTAGCGCGTCACTCTATTAAACAGTATCTGTTTTTCTTTCTCAGTCGATTCTATGGAAAGTGGAAAGGATTAAACTGATACATAACAAGTCGCAATGTATTCTTTGTCACCATACTTACTAGAAATATTTTTCCAATCAGTTCATATCTTGAAAACGACACGATGAGGAGAAATTCCGTTTGTTACAATTTATTTACGAAGGCAAAAAACTAAGTGATTTTTATAAGACATCTGAAGTTTTCTGCCTCCTTGCCTTTATTCGATAGAAAATACTTTTATGAACTGCCAAAAATATAAAGGATATAAATGTCTAGCCTGTCTCAATGATCCGTTCAAACCCAAGGTCAATGTAGCAAGGAATTTTTCATCTACAATATATAGAAGGTTTTAAGAAAAACGCAGTACGCCCTCACATATAAGTCCCAACATATGACAATCATGATATTTTAAAAATTTCATTCTCTATCTAAAGAAAAGATGGAAAATTTCACCAAAGTTGCACTGATTCTCAAGCATGACAGACGCTGTGGAGATTTTTTTGTTTTTTGTTTTTTTTTTTGACAACGATGACGTCTTGTCTCTCATTATTCCTTTGCCTTTTTTTTTTTTCTTCTTGAGCAACACAGCCGACTCGGTACCTTGCACTTTTAAATGAATTACAATCACTCTAAATCCTGAATTTTTGGCCAGGTAAGTGAAACTATTATTTCGATGTAGATGTCATTTACATCAGTTGGCTCGGGTGAAGCCTTTTCCAGAAATACAATCAACTTCTTGACACAACAGCGAATGTCGGCTAGCTTTTCTTGAAAAAAATTTATGAAAATGCACTTTATTTTTTATTCAAGTCGGTGAAAATGCATTTTCTTTTTTATTCATGTAGGTGAAAATGCATATTCTTTTTTATTTATATCGGTGAAAACGCGAAAAACGGGTAGCCACCAAAAGTTGAAAGCAGTGACAACAGGTTCTGGTACGTTTTAATTTCCATTCGGTGAGGGCACCCTGAAACAAAGTCCCGTTAGGACGTTTAGAATGTAGGAGTGAACAAAACGTAATCCTCAAACATGCTCTCTGTCTCGAAACTATCCTCCAGTAAAGGAATATCTCTTAACTCGATATCAATTACAAGAAAAAAAAAAAGTTAAATTTGTAACGACTACCGTATTTTCTAACCGAGTCAACGACTAGTGTCTGGTTAGTCAGACATTATATTTACTATTTAATTCAATCCCACGATTACGTTTATGAATTTCTAACAAATGGTCCTTCATTTCCACCATTGTCTCATTCCATTTGTCACTGGACTTTCTATATTCTTCTGTCAACCTTACGTCAACTTCTTTCAAGTAGGTGCAGTTAGTTTTTTGTTTATTTTCGAAAATTCGCACGGGTGACTTTTTCACTTTTGAGATTCCTTTGAATCCCAGTGACAAGTTTATGAGATGATTTTTGAGTTTTGATACACAAATTTAATTTAGGAGTGAGAAGCATACTTGAAAACAAGGACTGAGATGTCTCTGTGCATTAAAGTTAACACTCTTTAAACAATACGGTGTGAAATGTTGATTAAACATTTTCAAAGTTAAAGTTGTCTTTTGACTGATGATACTGTCCACTAAACATCAATAGAAATAAGCACTTTGTTGAACGACTGGCAAAAACATTGCATTTTTTTATCAGTAAAATTTAATAGAGACTGATATTATTATTATTATTACGACTGGCAAAAACATTGCATTTTTTTATCAGTAAAATTTAATAGAGACTGATATTATTTCCGATACATTTGGTTGTGCTCGGAGGCTATGAGAAAAGAAATCAATTTTTATATACTAATACCGCATATCTAAAACTGTAGCATTCAAAATAAAAGTTTAGGCCTTTGTTCAGCAGCTTTCAAAAGTAGCGTTATTTTTGTGTTCTTTAACTTAGTCGTAACAAAACGAGGGAAAATAATCAACATATCAGATTAATAATTGCAGAAAACGTGATTCAAATTAAATTCCAATTATACAATTAGTTTTGTCAAGACAATACCTGAATATTTTTCCCGCGTGTTGTTTCGTCGTACCGGTCTATGTTCTTCCTATCCTGAGCGACAACGTCATTTCTTACCGCTCAAAATGGCCAGATCGATTTTAAACGGTCTATCTCTTTCCAAGACAATTGTTGTCCAACTTTGAAGTTGGTAAAACGTTTAGAATGATTTAAATACGCCACAAGTCGAAAATTTCCGTGTGCAAAATGTTATTCTAGTCACGCTGTTAAACATGTGATCCGCTGTGAGACACCAGAGATTTTCGCCATTTAATTCGATGTTTTCATTTGTCAAATTTCCTCCTGCAGTTGCCGGTGGAGTCTCGTAGCAGTTGGTCTAAAATAAAATCAAAAGAGGTCTCGGTTGTGTCCTACGACTTGGCAACGTGGATTTCATGAGGAAATTCGACGGGATACCGCGTGTCATGTTGGAAAGCTCTCTATATTTATGTGTTCTGCTGACATTGTGTTAAGATATTAATAGTTATGGTGACTAAAAATAAAAACTCTGCTCTACCCATTAATCCTGACCAAAGTCATGTTCCATTTGCAGCTCAAAGAGCGTAAGTTGTTGTGGTAAATTTGGCAAAACTTCGTAGCGAATCTTAAAACAAAAGCTATTGTGGCATTTCTATAACTCGATCCATGGGAACACGATCTCAACACCTGCCATACACCGAGGCCTTTAATGGCTCGTTCAAAAGCCAGTATTGTCTTGTTTATGTTGTACCGAGTAGACACAGAAAATTATCCTCTCTTTTGTCTTGCAGAAATCGATTTGCTTGAAAAAGTGGCAACTATTATATTTTTTCGAAAACGAGTTACTAAAAAGAGAATATGCAATTTGTTTCCCATTTTTTTTTCCTCGGGTTAAAACGTTTTAACAAAGGGACATATTCGTTGCCTTTGGGAAGTGGATAAATTTTGGGAAACCGCCAGCTGAAAAGAAGAACCGGCACGTGTTTTCCTTTATTATTTCCATATCTGATCTTTCAATGAAGATGTAATTCCAGATCGCTTTGTTAACTTGTTGAGCCATGTTCACGCTTAGTTGATTCTTTTAACTTTTTCAAGTACCCAGCAGGCATGTAGATTTCCACCTCACGCGCGAGATATATACCTAAGTGTTAACCTACTTAACGCAAATTGTGTACAGGATGCGCGCATTTTCGTAATTCACAATGAATAATGTTTGAACGTCTGATAAGTAAATGCTCTTAATTCAATCGTCGGCGCGGCCATGAATACGCCCGTCTGACGCGATATCTAGGTTCGTATAGGTATTGTGTATTGTGTACACAGTAATTGAAATGCCCAGATTATAGCTAGTGAAAAAAAACATAGAAACTCAACCTTTGACAAGCCGAGAAAATTGCATTAAAATGGGTCTTGTCACACTCACCTAAAAGGAAATAAAAACCACCCGCTGCCAGACGTCGTTTTAAAGTCAAAATGAAGGGGTTTTAAAAGTGTATGTTAATATCCTTTCGTAAGACAAATTTAATGCTTGAGTGAAACAAAGAGTGCAATTTTAACTAGGTCTTTGTGGCCCTCTCGTAAATTTTATTACCGTTTAGGGCTTGAACAATTCCATAATAAAACTGGTTTTGTCCATGTGAATAAAAAGCGAACTTCTGTACTTTGAATAAAGATTATGAGAGTCGTGATACATTGTTTAGTGTGTGGGCGAGTTCATTCGGTAGAGATAAGCCACACGTACTGAATGAACAGTGAAAATTGGCCTCATGTTAAATATTGTGTTTTAAATAAAAACTAGCTTTGAACCTTTCAAGTCACAGTGGGTCATTTGTAAACACAACTCCTTCCTATGCAAAACTTTTTTTGTTATCTGTTCATTCAACGTCAAAACAAGGACGTCTTTAATGCTAATTAGCACAGCAGACAGCGTGTTTGTAGGGCTTAGCTTAAATATCCTCGGCGCCGTGCGTATTTGCCGAAAATCATCGAACTATTTTAGTCAGTCTCTTGAGCAACGATTTGGAGTCACCTTAGTTTTGAAACCCTTAAGTACCAGATAGTACACCAGACAAGATATTTTTCTTCCATTTTTTGTTCATTGTGAATTAATAAATAAAACGTTCTAAGGAAACACTCGTCTTTAACAGTTCTTTAAACCATGAATTCACTCAATCCATGGGAGTTCCCGCCACCAGTCTCTTTCCCCATTTACTCATCTTACAAGACATCGTGCTCTGTTAATTATTCATCAACGTTCTCTAGTTTCTATTGTTCTGTCGAACTCTTGCTCGTTAAATTCATGTGGGTAACCCATTCTTCTACCAAATCAATAATTTATACCCGTCAAGATTCTTATAATAAACCACTTCTGTGGGAGCTCATTGAGACCCTCCATTGTTCATAACGTGGTTTCTTTTCATTCCAAGTGGCCCTATCCACAAACGAGAGGCTTGGACGACCTATAAAAGCCAACTTCTCAGGGTGACCGCACTCACTGTATTACCAACCACTTGGCGGTGAATTCGCATCGACATTTTGGAAACTGTACCACTTGAAAATAGATCAACAAGAATGACAAAACCCAGTGAGCACATAAAACGGCCCATGAATGCATACATGGTTTGGTCGCGTAAAGAGAGACGGCGCATCGCAGAGGAATGCCCTCGAATGTTGAATTCGGAAATAAGCAAGCGGCTTGGACTTGAATGGAACGCACTCTCGCCTGAAGCGAAAGATCCGTACGTAATAGAGGCGAAACGACTGAGGGAACAACATAAGAAGGATCACCCAGAGTATAAATATCAGCCTAAAAGGAAGCCTAAGGCTACACCCAAGTTGAAAACGCAAAGTTTAAATCCTTATGGCTATCATGACATGAGTGGGATGGGATATCCGCCCTCTTCGTCGCTTTGTAGCCCATTACCGCCAGGCCATTTGGTGCCTTCAGGTCCTATTTTTAGCAATTGCTCAGGAAACTGTACATTAGCGGAGCCTCCTCCGCCTTACCATTTCGCTCCTCATTACCCGGTTGTGCAGCCTATGACAGAAATAAAAGGACCTTGTTCGACCCATCTACCGCTTGTTGGCAGAGAAATATCTTGCGGACCTCCCATAGCTTACTCAAGCCATCATCCATCTATGTCGCATTCTATGCAAGTTGGACATGTGGTTCATCATCGAAGCGTTTTACCAGAATCCTCATCCTTAGTTCACGCCCCAACTGCCATTGACAGCAGAACGGGCATCCCAAGATCGTCCATGGATTTTGTTATGATGAGACCTGATGTTGGATATTAGTGAGAATTGCTCTGTTGTTGTTCCCAAGATACGCAGACATCAAATTTCACCTAGCCGAGATGTTCATTTCCATACACTAATAAAAACACGAATCACTTATTCGCCATAAAAGAGACTCGACCCTTTATAACATTTTTTTACTTTTCATTTATTGGGACAAATTAAATTTGTGTAGCAGAGGTGAGTCTGTGTAGTAAGTCGTTTCTAAGAACCGGGACTAAAGGATTATTATCGCTTTAATGGACATATTGAAATAAGAATTTAACAGGGATTAACCAAGTTGTATAGTTTAGTAGCTTATTTAAGTGTTTATTCATACAATAAAAACAATATACCAATTGAATTTGCAGTCTTCGTTCAAGCGGGCAGCGTGGCCGATTCGCTGGCTTCTTCGTTCTTGGATTACAGGTAGATTGGTTTCGCGGATCGATCTAACAATTTAGACACAATCTGCCACAAACCGAGAGGGCGTTTATCAAACAGAATAATTCTAGCTTGTAAACTCCGACGTTAAAAGTTATATAATTTCACAATGAAGCATAAACTCACTTTATCATTGTCAAACAGCCACACTTTGTTATTTCAAAGAACGTGTTCAATTCGACATGGCAACCAAAGACAAAAGGCCGTTGATAACACAAAACGAAACCTGTCGAGTCATGCCACCATACGCTATTTTGTTTCTTATCCTTGAATACGAATGTTTAGAAAGGAATTCAAAATGATCTGTGACTTAGATCCTACCATGAATGGGATAATTTCACGCAAAGATAATTCGGCTCAAGTAAGGCTAGTGTTTTCAGTTTGTTTCTTTGTCCCTATTCTTAAAACTCAGACGAAAGTAAAATTTCTAGCCCGGATTTGAAAAGATTGTTAACCTTAAAATTCGGATGTTTATTGGATAAAGCATCGCATGGAAGTCATCTTAAAACCATAACATGGTTTATTTGTTTTATGCTCTCTTTATAAAAATATCTTAATTGAGTTATACGCGCTTAGTTTTCGGTTTTTATTTCTGTTCAGAACTCAACTTTGTTCAGCTGAATAAAGTTTATTATATGAGCTTTTCCAAGTTAGGTACCACAGGGGCTTTTATGCCGGTCTTCTCTAAAATACCAGTCGCAGATCAGCGAGGAGGGAATCTTTCTCACTTCCTCTCTGACGACTTTAAAATGTCTATTCGATTGCTTGTTTTATCAATTTTTTGTTTTACTTTTCTCTGAATCAAAATTATCACAGTAAGAAGTCGGAAACGCAGCATATGCCCTCCTCTTCAAGTCTTGCAGTGTGCACTCAGGGAACTGAATCCCTTTTGTATGCTAGCTTTTTGTAAAATGATTTCCTTTGAATAGAGAGGATGAAACATTAAGAGCTCGAAAGAAATCGCTCTAATCCTATTGTTGAAATAGTATTTCACGCGATGCACGCAACGTTAAGCTAAGATTGGAACAATTCGCTAACCTCCAACACATGAAAGGAGGCGCAAATGGTATATAACTAACAAAATGCTACAAATACCTCCTGTTGTTCTCCTTATTTTAATTGTGAAGTATAGTCAATTTTAGATAACATATGAAAAGAATAAATCTTAAAAATTGTTTATTTCTACTGATGTGTTTTTTTTTACGTTTCAGGAGCGTATGTTAAATTAGGATAAATCGACCTTTTATTTAAACCTTTAGCACCTTCAGTGATAGATTCTAACTTGAACATGAAGATTTAATCATTTGGACCTAATTCTAGTAAATAAGACATAATGATAATTAATTTCTAAATTCACAACGTCAAAATTTACATCTAACCTACATTCAGTGGGGAAATCACCCGCCTTTCCTTGCTCACAAAGTCTAAAGTTGCTCTTTGAAGCGAAGAGAATTGAAGATAAACACGCCATTGTTCATAATCTCAGTAACTTCTTTTAAACACGTTGTTTAGTTACAATTCTAACTCTTACCATTCAAACTGTTGTTGCGATTTGTTTGTTTTGTAAAAAGCGCATAAATGAACGAAAGTCGACAGTTTATTTTTATCGATACTTCTCAGAGTCCTTTTTGAATAGTCTTAGACAAGCCACAAACATATGTCTTCAGGAAAAAAAACTACGGATGCAAAACACGTGGAACTGAATTTTCAATCGGAGACAGTTGCAATGGTAATTCGTTCACTATGGGAGGCCGGAATGGAGCTCACTCCTAACTTGAAAAGGGAAGAGGTGGTTAGTTTTTTTTTTCCATGTTAATCATGAGGGCACATTAGTATTTGGGTTAGCTGCTCGCCTTTTCACCTAATCGAAAAACGCATTTGTTGAAGGACAATGTGAAGAACAAAAGGCTTTGACAATAACTGCAGGTTGGTTCGACAATGGTAACCGGTGGTGTATAGAAAAGAAATGGAATTGAAGAATTTGAATACATAACACTTTTGTGAAGGTGGCATCAAATTGATGGAGAATGCAGCAATCTGATCCTCTTTAAACTTTCAATTTTCTGGTAATCTTGCAGACTTTCAAGACAAAGACGGAACGAGATTTTCTATTTTGATGAAAGCGGTGTCTTTTTGTCGATGTCGGCGAGCGCTCATAAGATATGCTTGGTTGCATGTAAGTAAACATGTCGTTGATAGTTTATATTCAGGTGAGTCAGGGGAAATTTGTAAGCCTCATCTTTAACTGCAACAGTCGATTGTAGAAGACAAAGGAAGCTACACAAACAAACTCTTAATAGCGGTTTCTTGAAACAATTCGAAAGTCTCCCACTCATTCAATTTTCTCTTCATTTATTATTTCTTCTGTTAAAATTAACAAGGCCTGTGATCTAACGAGGTGAAATCACAGTTGCCAGTAAGTTTTTGAAGTGTGTTTACATCGTTCTTTTATTATCATCAGCAATAAAATTACCATTTGATAACTTCGTAATAAGTTCCCAGCTTTTTTCTTGCTCTGTTTAGTTCGCGACTGTTTTTCAGCCTCAAGGACCCACCACGTCTCGATCTCTACCTTAACACGATAAACTTCCATTGTGTAGTAATGGTATGTCAATTACTCATTACCGCTGGAAGAAAAATTGACGAAAATAATTTTGAAAATATTTAACTTTGCACCATGGAATATCAGTCAACGCTTTTAAGTTCCACATTTTATTTTTTTCAATAAACATACTGTTAGATCTTCTTGACAAAGCGAATGTCTAAAGTGACTTGAAACATGACCTCGTTTAAAGATTGACAACCTCAAGGGGGCGTTTCCTTTTTCACTCGGACAGGTACCAAACAGGCGGTCCATTAGCTACGGCTTACATATCTTGGGTTTCAAACCGTGCTGCATACAACAGAGGACTTTGATAATTAAATGCGAGAGGCAGCAGACTATGACAGTAAAATTTTTTTTTTTTTAATATTTTTTTAGTAGTTAAAAAATCTAGGGAAGAAACTTTCTGTGGAATGTGGTACTAATGAAAACTGAAGTGCATGTTTCGGAAAATCCTTATAAAACTACCGGTCGAATCAAATTCGCTGAACCCAGGTCTTTGTTTCTCATTTTCACAGACTTAAATTTATGTCTGTGTTGTAGGTTAAACTGGTGAGCGATTTGAAGACAACAATTCATAATATTTCTCTTGAGTACTAGATCTATTTAATAATTATTCTAGACGACTGAAAGAGATACTTGGATGCCCCCATCACACCACGTCAAGCGAAATAATAAAAACCACAGATATGATGAAGAAATGATATAAGGGAGTGTCCAGCAACAAGGAAAATTTTTAATTTCAGTGGTCATTCATTTGCAAGTTAAACCACGAAATGAAAAAAGAATAGTGATATCTCCTCCTGATTCTCTACAGCTGTATAGGTTTCATCATCACATTGATATTGAAAAGAGAACTTACATATGGATCACTTCCTCATTAATGAAAGAGTTAAGCGAATACTTAACGAGGAAAACTCGAACTTAAACTTTTTTGTAATGAGCTGGATCGCATTTGATAAAAAAGTTTGCTTCTCTGTTCGGGTCTTACTCTTCCCAAAGCTTTGAGCCTGTTCGTTGCAACATCTCAATGTGGCACGTACTTTTGCATCCATAATCGTTTCTTAAGAATGTTAGCATGTGTTATGCAATTTAGGAAGAAATAATTACAGATTGAATTCAGAAAGACTAGACATGTTGGTGCACCAAACTTGTCTTAGAATCCTGTAGCGCTGTTAAAATTAGCTTTTTCTAAAATGCGTCGTCTTTTTCCCTTAGCCCTCAACAGCGTCGCTGTTGCTCCTTAGGAAACAAACGTTAGAGCTGGAAACGGAGCAAATTTCATGATTTACATTGTTTAGTTCTGACAGCGTAATGATCTCATTTCAACGATGTTACAGTAAATGTTCCGGGAAAAACGCAGTTGCTTTCATCAGAAAAGCCAAATCGTTAGTAATATGGTCTGATACTCAAGGAATAAAAGAAAGTACTTACTCCTTTGAAATTTGTGTTTTAGGATATCTATTCATTTTGATGGATTTGTTAGCTTTTTCTTCGTTACAGTAGTATATTGTATTTTGCTCACGATCCAAACGCAATAAATCTAACTGCACAGTTTACTATTTCCATGTTCGTCTAGGTATTTCCTCCAGGCAAACAAGAGAACACGTCGAGGAAAGGTCAGACTTGTCCCCATGAAATCGCTGGCAAAGAAACCTTGAGAGGCTTTTTCATTATTGAAATAGAACTGAACCCGTCTCGTGAATAGACACAACACAATCATGGTGTGAATCTGAAACCCCAAGGCTGAACTGCAGGGCAGACTGCTAAATGAAAGACAATTGCCTAACAGCCTAAAGCAATTCGCAGTTTGTCACCTTTGAGCCATTCATAATCATCTCTAACTATTCTATCAACTATATGAACCTCAGCCTTGATCTCTATAGAGTATCCGTGGCTCAATGGTAGAGCATCGAAGCGCGGAAATCTGTAAGTCTAGGGTTCAATTCCTCACAAGGACTCAGAATTTATTCTTGTCCCACGTTCTTAACAAGATGAAAAAACTTCTTTCGCTATTCTTTGATATGCGAGCATTAAACTTAAGCAAATCTCGAATCGTTGTTTACAAAGTCACCGTTTTTTCCCAGATTTAACCTCATCCTCTCGCACTATCTAAGAATCTCTAGTAAAAAAGCCGCTCAAGAAGTCAACGGAGAAGAAAACGTTCCCGCCGCCTCAGATTTGAATATTTACTGGCGTGACATCTAAAACGAGTGTCGTACATTAGTAATTTTCAATCCAAAATCCAGATATCGCGTATCACTTTTCACTAAACAAGTTTTCGTAATGGCTTTTCAAGGATGAATTTCAGAATTTAT